TATTTTATATGTACGTATGTACCTTGAAATGGTTGACAGTCTTTTTGGTAGATGTTCTTGTCTGTATCCGTAGACGCCCTGTATTTGCATTTGGGTTCATTTCTTTGGATGCTACCTTCGCCTTGCGAGGAGTGGAAGTACAAGTTATTTGGAGTCAAGCTTCAATATTCCTTGTTCCTTAAAAAAAATTGTCAAATTGATTCGAGTCCAAATTTATTCTATCCAGAGTCCAAATTTATTATATTCAGGAACATAATATATTGATCAAATTCAATAGGCCCCTAATATTACCTCATAGAAATGCTCATGGCTGAAGCTCGTGCTTAGTATTTTGCGTCACTCCAAACTAATTACTCACAAGATGCTCACTCAGTATTGGTTATCGACCGGAGTGGGTTCTTCGCATTCTGGTATCAAGCTAAAAACAATTGTACATGACGCCAGCTATGTCATTGTGATCTTGACCAGTAGTAATTTAGACTGGAAGTTGATTGATCGACTGATAGGAAAAACCTCCACAGCACAGATTAAATATCATTTATACAACAGGTCATGTATAACCCTTCAGAAGGGAGTTACTGAGCCTCTCTTTTATACTACACTGAATGTTTGTACTAGCTCACTAGCTGCATTGTCTGTAATAAGGCAGTTTCAATGAGTGCCACATGATCAGACCATACCACGTCTCCTGAGCACATTGTATATAACGCCTCTTCCTCATTTCACATTCTTTCGGACACGGGACGGCGGCCCACATGTTGATACTTAGTAGTCAGTTGGAACCGGTATGCGCATTCATGTTACAAACACTTGTTTTCTGTTTGTTTGTCTTTGCTACAGTCAACAACATATCAACCGGGAATCGAATCCGACTATCCTAAGCTCTGGTTACCAACTGAAATAGCTAATTTTCACATAACATCAGCGGAAACTACAGCGGGATGACCTTAACTGCTCCTGCTAAGCACTAATGCACATAGATCAACTAGCGCCTGACGCTCTAAACTCTCGGGTAGCTGTATTTGAGACGGTGCGAATGGTAGTATTTTAGCTAAATCCAGATTTTAATTCGAAATTAGCGTGAACTCACAAAGATTTGATAAACATTTGAAAAACAACATGCATCAATAAAACCAGACGATGGCCATTTACCTGCTGTATAGTGCGAACCGCTGACTGTCCATACTCGGCGGCTAGCTCTCGACTCCGTGCCAGGCCGGAGCTCTTATTCAAATAATGTAACGCCTGTAATACGAGTATGTTGCAGGCAAAAACAGAGCTAGTTGTCAATCGATAGCTCAGGGCAACAACACAAATTCAGGTGATCGTTTGCACCACTGTACGAAAATAATCGAGTGTCGTTCTCAAGTATTTGCTCGACACGACTAGATTGACGTGCACAGTTCTAACTGGAAGATTTTAGTCATCCTATTCAGACATCTCAGGAAACACACCTCAGGTACGTCTCCAGGTCCCTTGAATCGCCTTTTAATCAGGGGATTCAGCTCTGGGAATTCCTCCGCTGCATAAAGTATCGGCGCGGTGGCCAACCCTAAGCTAAGATCCGCTGAACTCGGCTTGCCCAGCTCTTCACTTGTGCTGACTAAGTCTAGAACATCATCTATCACCTGTGAACATGATTCGGTTCAAAAACAGACATACACACATGGCACTTAGTTCTACGTACACTCTGCATATACACACGCTACCATCCGACTATGCAAATATTTTGTTCTGTGTATCTTATCGTTTGAGCACCACATGATCAAATGTGTCTGCGGGACTATAGACAAAAGAGAATGTCCGGTCAGTATATATGAAGAGGCGATCAAAAACCAAAACTGTTCACACAACTCCCGTATAACAAAACTTTTCATGAGTATACCATACGCAGAATAAGATACAAATTAGATATATTCAGTATTTGAACCCGAAATATATATATACTAAGTACATACTACACAAATGCAAGCCTTATGACAAATCATGGTATGAACACACACACACTCACACACACAAACACACACACACACACACACACACACACACAAACAAACAAACACACACACACACACACACACA